CCTGCAGTGGTGATGTGGTCTGTGGCCAATGAGCCTGCCTCCGCCCTGCCGCCTGCTGGCTACTACTTCAAGTGAGTGCTCCTGGGTGCCCCTGCCGCCGTCAGGAAGGTGGGGGTCAGGTCCATGAGGGCAGCCTCTCCTGGTGGGGACAGAACACCAGCCCAGCGACTGTGGTCTGGGTCTGAGGGAGCACGTGTGCAATGCGACCCCCATCCTGGCAGCAGAGAGCAGGGGTCTCGGCATAGGCATTGGTCTTCGCCCTGGTCCTGGTCTTGGCTGGGGAGGGGAGGTGGGTGATAATGGGACTGACAGACCGTGTGTCCCCCGTGTCTTTGCCTCCTATGGACAGGACAGTGATTGCCCACACCAAAGCTCTGGACCCCACAGGGCCCGTGACCTATGTGACCTTCACCAGCTATGCCACAGACCTGGGGGTGAGCCTGGGGTCTCCACACAATGCTCCTCACTGGCTGTCCTCCTGTCCTGTCCTAACTCTTGCTAGAAGGCCCTGCCGGGGAGAGCCAGGCCAGCAATGGCCACGTGGTGGACGTTTCTGCCCACCTGTGGCTTCATCCGTAAGGCCTCACAGTGGCACACGCAGGGCCCATAGGTCTCCGCTTGGCTGCAAGTTGGCTTTTTTGGGCAGCTGCTCCTCACCTGCTCAGGGAATGTCAGGTGGGTGGGAGCGCCCGTGTTCACCGGCCAGTGTTTCTCACCAAACCTCGGCTGATTGCCCACCAGGGAGGGGACTTGCCTGTCCTTGGATTCTGATTCGGTTTAGTAAGTGGGGGTGAAGGTGGGGCTGCGGGATTCCTTCTTTGTGCTGCTGTAACAGAGCGCACCAGTGGGTGGTCTGAACAAACAGCGATCTGTTTTCTCACAGTTTAGTCGGCTCCAAGTTCAAGTTCAAGTCCAGCGCTGGGTCTAGGGGAAGGCCTGCTCACTCTCTCTCCCCCACTTTCTGCCGTTTCCAGGGGAAGGTCCTTGTCCCTGTCAGCTTCTGTTCCACAGTGCTCGGTGGCAGAGAGCACCGCAGCAGTGGCACCTGGAGGACCCCCGACTCTCAGCGCTGGACCCTCCTGCTGTGCTTGGGGAGGTTTTGAGCCGGCTGGGCTGTCCTGGCCTGGCCTTCTCAGCTCCTCAGGCTCCGTTGGTTGGATCCAGGGTCCATCTATAAAACGGCCTCCCTCCCAGCTGTCTGTGGCCCTGCATTCTCCCAGCACTGTTGGGAGAGGGTGCGCAGTCATGTGGGAAAGACCACAGCAGTCTACAGTCAGGCCACAATACTAGGTCATGGCCAGTTCAGCAGGTCCAAGCACTCTGTGGGGACAGTCTGTGAGAACCTGCTTCAAGGCAGGCTGGGCTCAGAGAGGCCAGACCCAACCGGGCAGGCATAGCTGGCAGCTTGGCCGACCACCCAGAGTCCTAGACCCGCTTCACTTCTGTTTCTGGAGGTTCCTGGTGGAAGTAGGGGGGCAGACAGGATGGCTCGGGGGCCACCGCCATCTCCTGCATCTGAGCTCCGAGGCTCCTTGGAAGGCCCCGTCAGTGAGCAGGTGACCTCGCTCTGTCCTAGGCCCCGTATGTGGACGTGATCGGCATCAACAGTTACCATTCCTGGTATCATGACTCTGGATACTTGGAAGTGGTTCCCATACAGCTGACCTCCCAGTTGGAGGCCTGGCACAGCACCTACCAAAAGCCCATCATTCAGAAAGAGTACGGGCCTGACGCCATCGCAGGGTTTCACCAGGTGAGTGAGGCAGAATGGCCGCTCACCTGCGTTGGCTGGGCCCTTGCTTCTGCTCAGCTGCCAGGTCACACATACCCAGCCCAGGCCTGGCTCCCCTCCAGGACTTAGGGCTCAGAGGCAGCCTCCCTAATGGTCTTATTTCCTGACAACCCCCCACCAACACTCCCAGTGACCTTCCTAACCCACCCACATCTGGTGTCCCCTAGCACACAGGACAAAGCCCTCATGAAGGCTTGCTCTGGTTCCCCTCCCAGGCTTCAAGCCTCCCCCCCCCCCATGATACCTAGCTTACCTGACAGGAGTCATGTGCCTTTATAAATAAAGCCATTATACTGAAGCTTTAAATGAGCCCTGTCAGATAAGCATTGGCCCACTAACCACAAGGTCAGCAGTTCAAACCCACCAGCCGCTCCAAGAGAGAAAGATGAGGCTGTGTGTTCTGATAAAGATACACAGCCCTGGGAGCCCTCTCCAGGGCTGCTGTGAGTCAGAACAGACTCGGTGGCAGTGGGCCAGGAAGCTCTGACAGAAATAACTTCTCCGAGCTGTCTGGGAGCCCCCATACCCACCTGCCCTCCTCACACAGCATCAGTGGACCCTGCAGTCTCCACAGCCCACTGGGAGCCCAGCTCTGGGGAGCCCACAGGTCAGCGGGCCCGGCCTCTTCCTGTCTCTCTCCGCCCCTCCTCCCAGGACCCGCCCCTCATGTTCAGTGAGGAGTACCAGCGGAGCCTCCTGGAGCAGTACCACCTGGTCCTGGACCAGAAGCGCCGCGAGTATGTGGTGGGCGAACTGATCTGGAACTTTGCGGACTTCATGACCGCCCAGTGTAAGTGGATGGGAAGGGCCTTTGCTGGGCTGTGGTCTCGGGGCATCAGGCGGTAAGAAGAGCTGGTCTAGTAGGTGTGGGCTGAGCAGAGCAACTTGCATGCTGGGGCCTTTGCAGCTGCAAATCACTCCCTCACCTGCTTCCCCAGTCATTCATTCTGTGGTTCAAAGAAGCCAACAGGTGGCTCTCCATCCTGAGCCACAACACCTGACTTGGCGCTCTCACTGAGAAGACCCCAGGAATCCCTGGATGGGACACACAGTTCAGCACTCAGCTACTGACTGAAAGGCTCTTGGTTTGAAATCCAACCAGAGGCACCTGGAAGAAAGGCCTGGCGGCTGACTTCTGAAAGATCAGCACCATGGAAACCCCAGGGCATGCACTTCTCCGCAGATCCCATGGGGTTGGAGCCAGGAGTCTGAATTGACTGGATGGCAACCGTGTTTTGTTTGCTTTTCTTAATAAGGAAAACCTAGATTTTGAATGGCATTTGCTTTTGGAAGTCACTTGTGATTCCATGAAGATTTATAATGTGGAAAGGCAACCGTTTTATATATTTATTATGGAAAGCCTAGACCTCAGGTGGCACCACGGGCTACACATTGGGGTACTAAGCACAGGTCAGTGGTTCAAACCCATCCAATGCTCTGTAGGAAAAGATGAGGCTTTCTGCTCCCGTGAAGAGTTACAGAAATCCACCGGGGCAGTTCTGGCATGTCCTTTTGACTGGTGGGAAGATGTAGGGATGAAGGGGGCTGTCTCCACTGAATGCTTACACTAAACAAAACTTAGCTGACCATGCCACAAGAGGTCTGAAAGAAATCAGGCACACATGAGATACCTTTGGGGACCATCCAAAGCTGGGCGTTCACAGACCAGGTCACCTAAGCCCAGGTGAGGGTCAACCTGGGCACACACACTAGGCACCAGAACATTACTGGCACACGTGTGCCTGAACTCAGCCACTACCCTCCACCACGCCCCTCAAGTGGGTGTAGGAGGGGATAAACATCAGAGATCCAGGCCAGTCTCTCTGTTGTTCCGGGGTTCCTTCCACGTGGGTTTTCATGCTCCCCGAAGTGGCCGTCTTCAGTCTGGAACTCTTGCGCGGCCCCTGCCAGGCCTTGCACTTTCCGTAGATGGACAGATCGAACCCAGCCGAGAAGCAGGGAGCAGCGTGGGAGTGATGGCCGGGAGAAGGGATGGAGCAAAGGGAGGAATGTCTGCCCTCTGCCCTCATTGGAATCAGCCTTGGGCTGTTGATATTCACCTTGGTTTTCCTGACCCCCCCTTGGGAAGTTAGAGATGAGATGCCTCCGCCATGTCCTTTTTACAAGGTGCAGCCTAGTTTCTTCCTGTTCCTGCCAGTACACTGCCATTATAAGGAGATAAAATGTAGGGGGCAATGTTCAGCAGTAAGAAGCTGAACTTGATGCTTTGGGAAATTCTCAGCTTAGATGGCAAGACGTGCTAACATCGAGAGAATCCCTTGGGGAAAGCATATGCTCTGGAGAGAAAGCCAACGGTGCAGTTGGACGACCTGTTTCTAGGGGCTCAAGGGGACTAAAAACAGTGAAAATATTCCCCCATGCAGAAGCTCTTTGAAGAGATGGGGTACGTGATTCGTGGACAGGTCAGTAGATGCCAGGAATGGAGATGGAGTTATGCAGGAAAGATTGGGGGAGGAGCTTCTCGTGTGATGGAGGGGCTCTCCATGACGTACACGCGAGACCCACAGGTTCCTCAGGAGATGCTGTCAACACAAACACAGCAAGCTTGGGTGGACAGGAATAGGTGGGGAGGGGGTGGTGGCTTAGGAATTAGAGGGCCATCCAAGCTCTCTCAAAATCCTCCAAAATTGAAACCTAACTCAACTGCCAATAGGTACAACCCTTCAAAAAAAACAAAACCCAAACCCCACACTGGCTCTGAAAGCAGAGTCGTTGGCCCAGAGGGAATGCCAACTCGTATGACCCCACAGGGCAGGCTAGAACTGCCCCTGTGAATTCCTGAGACTGTAACTCTTGAAGGGAGTAAGCAGGCCTGGTTTTCTCCTAAGGAGCAGCTTGTGGTTTTTGAACTGCTAACCTTGCAGGTTGCAGCCCAGAGCGCCAGCACTACGCCGCTGTGGCTCCATGGGCCTTGGCAGATCTTCCCTAGGCCTTGAAACAAAACTCAGTGGGGACGGTTGAGTTGAATTTCCGAACTGCTTGGAACTGGCAAACCTTCTTACCTGCTGTTTCCTCCCTCTTAAAACTGGAGTCCATAACTGGCGATGTGCCTATTCCAGTGTTTTGGGGGCTGGTGATCTCATTCATGAGTCTGTAGCTGTGAATCCATTTACTCTTCACCACCATCAGATGAGTTTCACAGGTGTATGTGCACACGGAGAGGAATTCTGCCCCAAGATGGAGACCAGAGTCTCCTTTTCTCTCTTTTTTAATCTTAGTCCTACACAGTTGGCATTTGTGTTCATTTATTTTTTAATCATTTTACTGGGGCCTCGTACAACTCTTATACAATCCATACATACATCAATTGTGTCAAGCACATTTGTACATTTGTTGCCATCATCATTCTCAAAACATTTGCTTTCTACTTGAGCCCTTGACATCAGCTCATTTTCCCCCTTCCCTCCTCCCTCACGAACCCTTCATAATTCATAAATTATTATTTTGTCAATGTCACACTGTCCAACATCTCCCTTCACCCACTTTTCTGTTGTACATCCCCCAGGGAGGAGATTATATGTAGATCCTTGTAATCAGTTACCTCTTTCTACCCCACCTTCCCTCCACCCTCCCGGTATCACCACGCTCACCACTGGTCCTGAAGGGTTCATCTGTCCTGGATTCCCTGTGTTTCCAGTTCCTGTCTGTACCAGTGTACATCCTCTGGTCTAGCCAGATTTGTAAGGTAGAATTGGGATCATGATAATGGGGCGGGGGGTGGGGGGGTGGGGGAGGAAGCATTTAGGAATTAGAGGAAAGTTGTATGTTTCACAGAGTCTCTCCTATACCTAATTTATATGAGTTAGATGAGGATATTTGGGACTTTGATCTGATGAGATTTAGACGTTTTGGACGTGATGTTATTGTTTGAGGCTTCGGGGGCTGTTGTGATGGGATGAATGTTTTTACAGGTAAGACAGATGAGAACCTTTTAAACCTGGCGGTGGACTGTAGTACACTGAACAAAGGAGTCCTGGTGGCAGTGTGTTCTGTGTTGGGCTGCTAACCGCAAGGTTGGTAGGTTGAACCCACCCACTGCTCCTGGGGAGAAAGATGAGGCTGTCTACTCCCGTAAAGATGGGAAGTCTCAGTTCTACTCTGCCCTACAGGGTCACTGTGAGTTGGAATTGACTTGAGGGCATTGAGTCTCTTTTTGGAAACACACCCACGTCCTCATCCCTGGAACCCGGGAAGAAGTTAAGTTACATGGTAAAATGGATTTTGCTGATGTATTTACGTGGAAGGGCTCCTGATGGGGACATGATTGTGGTCCATCCAAGTGGGACTGAGGTAGTCATAGAAGGACCAGAATCAGAAGGGATGATGGAAATAGGTTGGAGTCCGAGAGGGATTGGAAGGTATTACCCTGCTAGCCTTGAATATAGAGGAACAGACCGAAGTCAGGGCACCCAGGTGACCTCTAAAAACTTGACATGCCAAGGACAGATGGCCTTGGAGAGCTTCCATGCAGGGAGCATGGCCCTGCAGGCACCTGAAGTTGGCTCAGTGAAACCCACTTCTGACACCTGACCTCCAGAACTGTAATACACCTTTATGGTTTTAAGCCACGAAGCTTGTGGAAGTCTGTTACAGAATCAGTAGAAACCCAACACAAGGTCAGGCTGAGCTGCGACAAGGGGAAACGATTAAACCCGCTAAATAGCAAAACAGGAAGAGGCAGAGGTGAGGAGTAGCTCATTCAGGTTTGGGCAGAAAAACTACACAAATACTTGTTCTCCCTGGGCTAGGAGAAGTTCATCCCTTCTGGTCAGCCCAGCCCCACATGCAGTGTGGCAGTTATAACATCTCCCGTCAACTTGAGTGAAGGGGTGGAGGCTAGCCTGCCAATCAGGTTGCAGCTTGATGACCTCATTTGGAGGCATGAAGGAGCTAAAGAACTCGCAGAAGACCAGACTGTCTCTCTCTGCCTTCCCTTTCCAGCTGTTGAGACACTCAGAGAGCTGGAGGAGACCCGTGCCAGCATTGAGATGCTTCCACTGTCACTGGATCCACAAGACCTTCTACCCATCGGCCTGTGATCTTCCTGCATTTGGCATCATTGTGTGTGCTGTGTGAGTCTAAAAAAGGAATTTATGGACTAGTATCGGGCATATGGGCTAATTTCAGACTTATGAACTTAATCTGGATGGGGCCAGAATGCTTTCTTAATATACAATTACTCTTTGATCTAAAACTCTCTTACACACATATAAGTATCTCTGGATTTGTTTCTCTATAGACAATCCAGACTAACACATGTGGCCAAGTTCACATGTGGGAAGCTGATTCTGCTCTGATTAAGGAAGAACTTTCTAATGAACCAGCCCAAAGAACTCCCATGACCAGTGGGGTGTGTCTCATGGCTGGAGGCATCCCAGCCAATGTATTCTCCCCATCGTAGTCCTCCTGTGTTAGATTACTGGGATTCTTTTAACCCTCTCTGTTGTGTAATCGAGGGCTCTGGTGGCATAGTGGTTACATGGTGGGCTGTGATCTCCAAGGTCAGCAGTTCGAAACCACTAGCTGCTACATGGGAGAAAGATGGGGCTTTCTACTCCCATAAAAAGGATAGTCTCAGAAACGTAGACAACAGTTCCACCCTGTCCTGTAGGGTTGCAGTGAGCCGGCACCAACTCGGCAGCAGTGAGGGAGTACACTGTGTAATGGACACAAGGGCTTCCATTTCTGACACTAGACTTCAGATGTTCTCTGGCACTAGACTTTAGAGGCTTCGGGGGCTTCTGGCTCAGCACTTCCGGCTCAAACGTGCACGGGAAGCTCATGGGGGAATATGAGACTCTCAATTCCAAAGCAGTAGGTGTGGGGTAGGACTCACGTGAGGCTGCAACCTGATACATGGTGAGCAGCCAGGGTCTAGAGCAGGGGTCCTCAAACTACGGCCCGGAGGACATCTATCCAGCCCGCCAGATGTTTTTGCCCCATTTGTATTTTTACTTCAAAATAAGATATGTGCAGTGTGCACAGGAATTTGTTCATGGTGTTTTTTTTAAACTATAGTCCGGCCCTCCAACAGGTCTGAGGGACAGTGAACTGGCCTCTTTTAAAGTTTGAGGACCCCTGATCTAGAGCCCAGTGGTTTGCCCACCGAGAGCATAGCAGCTTCGCCTGGAGGGCCCTTGAGCCCTCTGCTAGCTGGGCCCCATCTAGAGTCTGACCCAGGAAGTCCGGGGAGAGTCTGAGAGTCTGCATTCCTCACAAGTTCGCAGGTCATCATGTGGCTGGTCTTGGGTCATGCTTTGAGACCACTGCTCTTGAAGGAGACCTGGCAGTGTAGTGGGTCCTGTGCTGGGTTGCTAAGCACAAGTTCAGCAGCTCTGCCCTGTCCCATAAGGCCAGTATGAGTTGGCTTTGGTTCAATGCCATGGAGTTTGGGCTCTTGAAGATGCTTTTGGGGACCCACAGCTTTGACCTTTTGGAGTTGGGTGCCATGATCCGACTGTTGGAGGCTTGGTTCTTCGGTTCCCAAATCTTTTCCAGCCTCCTAGGATAACTTCAGTGGGATATTCCTTCTTCTCTGGGTTTAGCTTGTTTATCTTTGTTAATGAAAGATCATTTCCTATCAGAGCCTTGGAGAGGTTTGGGCAGAAGAGGGTCTCTATGACTCTGCTGGTTGGGGGCGTTCACCCGTGAACTTTTGAACATTTACCTGGTGCCAGGCCTTGCCTCCGGCCCTACACAGACTCATGGCCTCCTTGCCAGCTGACTGACTAGAAGAATTGGTCAGCCACTTGCCCAAGGTTCCAAAGCTGCCAGGTGACAGGGTAGGGCTGGGGCCCTTGCCCTGTCTGACTCTATGTGGTTAATGTCATGTGTCAATTATGCATCCCAACGGTTTGGCCAAATAGCAAACTAGTTGTGGTTCCATTGTATCCAAAACTCCAATCTCATTGTCGTCGAATCAATTGTGACTCAGGCGGCCTGTGGGTTTTTGAGACTGTAACTCTTTACAGGATTAGAAAGCCTCCTCTTTCTTCCTCAGCACAGCAAGTGGTTTCGAACTGCTAACCTTATAGATACCAGCTCAACATGTAACCCACTACACCACCAGAGTGCTTGTTCCACAGTACAAGGTCATCCGTTCCAAAGGGTATCCTCAGGATGTGGTTGGCCGCTGGGCCATAAAGAAATATCTTGGCAGGACTCTCTCCACTCTGCCCAACCCCTAATTCGCTCGAGATCTTGGGATGTAAACAGTGACAGGTTACCCAATAAGCAAGGTAAGCGCTGTGCTTACTTACTAATCTGGGCACCCTGTCCCTGGATGGAAGTAAGCTGCCAAAGGTCTTCAGCCTGCTCTCTGCCCTTGGGATCTAGCATGAGCCAAGTGAAGTAAATTTCAATCTCTCTCTACGGGAGTTTGTTCATGTACGTACACGTACATACATATAAACACATACACACACACACACAGTCATGCACACATACACTTCACAGGCTGTTTTTCTAATCTATTGTCATAGATTCAAGGAGTCCTGGTGGCATCTTGGTTACACACTGGGCTGCTAACTGCAAGGTCAGCAGTTTGACCACTACCTGTTCTACAGAACAAAGATAAGGCTTTCTATTCCTATAAAGAGTTACAGTCTTAGAAACCCACAGGAGCAATTCTGCCCTGTCCTATAGGGTCACTATGAGTTGGAATTGATCTGTTCCAGTGATTTTGGGTCACTGATTCTATTCTGGCTCATTATAAGCCTATAGGTCGAACTTTTCCCTAGGATTTCTGCACATTTTTGTGAGAGCAGCTGTTGGGTTTGAACCACTGACCTTGAGGTTAGCAGCCCAGTGCTTAACCCACAGCACCACTGGGGCTGTTTCTCTAGAGGGTTGCTTTGAGTTGGCATAGACTCAACGGCATGAGTTGGTTTTGTTTTTGTTTGTCTCAACTCTGGTAGCAGCGGGCAAGTCCGCCAAATGGGGGCAGTGGGTGGTGTTGGCTACTTCTGGTGCAAGGGTCTTGTCTATTCACTGTGTGTGTGTGTGTGTGTGTGTGTTTGTGTGTGTACCCCTCAGACCTCTACCGACCCAGTTAGAATAGATGACAGGCTTGGACCCTCTCCCAGGAAAGGGTACATGTGTGACTATGTCCTCCCCTGCCCTGGACACCCCAGACCCCACGTCATGGTGAGTGCAGTTCTCAGAGCCTCCGGGGTGTTATCTACCCGCACTGTCCAGGCTGATGAGCCACCTCTTACTCCACATCCTGCAGCTCACCCCTCAGCCCAGCCAGGCCTCAGTTCAGGGGATGTCTGGAGTAACGTCCATGGTCAGGCATGGGGGCAGTAAGCAAGGGGAGACTGAGTAGGTGGCCCTGGGGACACTGGGGGGGACATGGGAATGGGCAGTGACCACTGGGTGGACTGTGTCCATTCGGTCCCACTGATCCCCTTTCTTTTCTGCCCAACCTTCACTCTGTGCCAGCTTCCTTGCTTCCTGGGGGTCCCCACTGTCTGCTCCCAGACTCCGGAAGCCCACCATGTGGGGAGACAGGTGGATAGGACACAGTGTCTCCGCCTTTATTTGGGGACTGGGGCCAGGAGGGGCTAGGCCTGCTGAGCCCGCAGCAGCTCGCGCACCTGGCTGATCTGCCAGTCGACGCTGGAGCGCGCAGTGCCACCCAGGGCGCCGTACTGTTCCACGCTGTGCCCGTAGTCCCACACGTGGCTCACATCACCTGAGAACAGCGGGCTGGGGGGAAAGAGGAAGTGAGCCGGAGACTGGGTGGGAAGATGGGCAAAGGCTGGCTGGCTTGAGTGGGGATGGGCAAAAGTCCCAGGCCTCCAGGTGCCCTAGCCTCCCAGGTGGCAGAGAGGCAGGGCCAGACACACCTGATGTTTTGCAGCTCCGGCAGGGACAGCTGGTTGAGGGCAACCCCCTTGGTTTCGGCCATGAACACGGCTTTGCCGGAGGCCTCGTGGGCCTGGCGGAAGGGCATCTGGGAGAAGGGCGGGATGGCTGACACCCGTGTCCCACTTCCTGGGATATCCCTAGCCCTCCCCACAGCCCGCCACCTGACTCACCCCTTTGCGGACCAGGTAGTAGGCGAGGTCGGTGGCCAGCATATCAGGGCTCAGGGCGCGTGCCATGTTCTCCCGGTGAATCTGGAGGGGTGGAGGGTGGAGCTGTCAGCTGCGAGGTGGGAGGGAAACTTGGGCCCAGAAATGAGCCCCCTGCTCAAGGTCTGGACCTCCTGCCAGGATGTCCCCTGCCTTGCTCTGCTCTCAAAAGTGCTGCTGAGGTGTGAGTGTGCTACCGTCGCGGTTAGGTGCTTTGGAGCCGAGCACCACAGAAGGAGACACTGCCCCGCCCCATGTTACCCTCAGTGGTCGCTGGAGCCCCTGACACAGCCTCTGTGTCAATCCATCTCACTGAGGGCCTTCCTCTTGTTCTCGGCCCCTCTCCTTCCCCAAACATGACGTCCTTTTCCAGGACCTGGTCTCTCCTGATCACACATCCAAAGTACAAAGTCTCGCCAGCCTCACTTCTGTGTGCAGGACCGAGCACACATCCTCTGCTCGCCCCGGTCCCCAGGACTTTGGGTGCCCTGTCCCCTCCCCCGGCTGCCCACCCAGGCTGTAGGGCTGAGGCGGGAAGGGGGAGATGATAGCGGATGTCTTACTTGCAGTGTGGAGATGACCCCAGTGGCTACTTGGAGGACAGCGCTCATGGTATCTGCCACTTCAAACACCGCTTCCTTGTCCTCCTGGGAGGGGAGAGGTGGGAAGGGGGGGGGGCTCAGTAGCCATGATCCCCACAGCCCTGTCCCCACTGCACTGAGAACCTGTCACCCTCACACCAAGACAGCCCCAGAGCTGGGCACTCAGGACGAGAGGTGGATCCCAAGAATAGCAAAGGTGCAGACCCAGCTAGGCCCACCACCCACCCCAGACCCACACCTGTAGGTCCTTGTTATAGGTGCTCGGAAGTCCCTTGAGGGTCATCAGCAGGCCAGCGCACTGAGGGGAGATCACAAGTTGAGTCTTAGAGGCCACCTGAAACACCACCCCCACCCCCACCCCGCCATCCAGACCCCCTGGCCACTCACCCGCCCGAACACACGGCCTGCCTTGCTCCGGATCAGCTCCAGGCTGTCTGGGTTTTTCTTCTGGGGCATCAGGCTGCTTCCAGTGCTGGGGACAGAGATGCGGGGTCTGAAGGCACGCACCTGGCCCCTGGCCTGCACAGAGGTGTGGCCTGGCCAGCGCAGGGGTGTGTAGGGGCAGCCTGGGGTGCTTGTTGTACCTGTATGCATCGGAGAGCTGCACGAAGCTGAATTCCTTGGTGCCGTAGAGGATGAGGTCCTCGGCCATCCTGCTGAGGTGGGTCATGCACAGGGACCCCCAGAACAGGAACTCGACTGGAGGGAGATGCAAGAGGCTCGTAGCCACCAGCCCTTTCCCACTCCCTGCCCAGCCTGGACAGGCTCCAGTTGGGGACTCACCAGGGTGGAGAGGCAGGGGCAGCGCAGGGACTGAGCCCACAACTCACCCACAAAGTCTCGTTCACTGGTGGCGTCCATGCTGTTGAGGGTGATGGCCCCAAAGTTCAGCTCTGGGAGGGTGTGTACAGGACAGAAGGAGCCAATGAGGGGCTGCGTTGCGGGCAGGGCAAAGCCTCCCCCCTTCCCCTGCAGGCTATCCGGCCACCTGCCCTGGGGTCCCTCAGGGAGGAGGAGGGGCAGGCAGCCCCAACCATGTCACCCCTGCTTCTCTGGCCTCGGAGTCCCCAGGAGTACGTGCGCGTGGTGTTGACAGGAAGAGCTGCAGGCCCACCCTCTCTGAGTGTCTGTGGGCCCTAGGGTGCTAGATGCAGGGCGATGACTCACCTGCTCGGAGCAGCTCCCGGTCCACACCTAGAGGGTTGCCTGCAATGGCCCCGCTGCAGGGAGAGGCCATCAGAGAGACAAGGGGGGCGGGTGGGTGGTTAGAGGGACAGGGGGCCAGCAGGAGGAGGCTAAGAGAGACAGAGGGACGGAGAGACTGGAGGACAGAGGGGTGGGGGAGGCCCTCAGAGGACAAGGGTCAGAGAGCTAGGGAATGAAAGGGCAGGCGGATGGCTGGAGGGACAGGAGCATGCGGGTGGTGGTTGGGGATCTGGTGCCGGGAGGCACAGTAGGCTTGGCATGTGCACATGCATGCCCAGAACCAGGCCTTGGTGGTAGGGCCACCCGCCTAAGCTCAGCCCTCTCCCTGGCCCAGTCCCTTCCTGCGACCCTCCAAGGCTCCACAGAAGACCCTGCCCCGCACTGTCAGCTTGCTGGCCATGGTGTGGCTGCCCTGCCTTCAGGCACGCAGCACAGGAATTGATTCCCTGGACTTCCGTCCGCCCCAGTTCAGCCCTCCATTTCCACGTGACTGTGATGGCCCCGCCCCCCGCAGCACACCTAGCCACTTCAGACCCCAGTTGAGCTCACCTCCCCAGGGGCAGGACATTGATGCGTTTCCGCACCTCCAGCAGCCGCTCTGAGTCCCGGGTCAGCGCCACCGCGTGGCTGCGGGCAGGGTGGCAGGGTCAGTGCAGGGCAAGGCTGGAGGCGGGCCAGCGCATCCCCCCCCTCATCACAGCCGTGGCGCCCACCTGAGGATCCAGTGGCTCCAGCGGATGGGCTGGGCCCTCTGCAGGTGCGTATAGCCCGGGAAGAGGACATCCCGCTCCCTGCAGGGAAGAGAAGGGGCTGGCGTGGGCAGGGCTCTCAGGCCCCTGGGGTCCTGCTGGCCCTGCAGGGAGCAAGGATCTGTCTGCATCAGGGCTAAGCCAAGTCTGGGGCTTGTGCAGCATGAGGGAGAAATCCTTAGTAGGGCCGGGTTGACCCCAGGTCGAGCCTGGCATGGGTCGTGCCTATAGCTGGGCCTATTTCCACTTTTCCACTGGGCAGCAAACCCGACTACAGGGGCCGGAGCAGGCAGGAGGCACCCAGTGGACGTCTTGTCAGTAGGGGCAAGGTAGGTGTGTCTGTGGGTTCGGGTTTTTACCCTTCACTATAACTTTGTTGTTATGAGCTGCTGCCCCACCCCCTCACGTTGACCACCCCTGCCCCCCATGTACAGAGAAAAGCTGCCAAGCCCTGCACCATGCTATCTGTTACACATCTCATCATGAGCTGGATTTTAGAACTAGATCACCAGGTCTTTCTTCCTACTCTTAGTTGGAAGCACCTCTGAAACCTATTGGGCATCATAACACATGAGCCTCTGCCCACAGACGGGTGGACATCACAGGGGTGGTCCCCTCTGTGGTGCATTGGCAAGGAATCCAAAGTGGGGTCGCTCACATGGTGAGCGAGAATTCTGGCGCCGTCCCTAGGGCAGCCCCCGCCATCCCATACAACCCACCCATGTGAATAAAATGAGGACTGAGTTTGGAGCGCTCATTAGTCTCCAGCATCCTGGGATACTGGTTGCCTAGTCGATTCCCACTTAGCAACCCTGTAGGACAGTGGACCCCAGAGGGTCTCCAAGGCTGTACGTCTTTCCGGAAGCTGGCTGCCTCCTTTTCTGTCAGTACGCTGCTCTCCAAGAAGTCCCATGAAAGTCCCCAGTCCAGGAGGCTTCGGGAGCCTGATGTGAGAGGACCGGGTTGTGGGGCAGGTCTCTGCCCAGCAACACACTGACAAAGGGGCCCAGTGGCTGCCATCTTTGAGTGGGCACAGCTGCTTCCTGATCCACTCAGAAGGAGTCGATTCCAGCTCATGACGCCCCTGCACCAGGACGTTTGAGGCTTTAAATCTCCACCAGAGCAGACGGCCTCATCTTCCTTCCGTCAACAGCTGGTGCTGTTGACCACAGGCTTTGCCCTTAGAAGCCTAATGCTTAGCCCGTTGTGCCACCAGGCCCCTCGTTTGTTTCCTACTGGGGCAAAACGATCACAGGCAACAGAAATGGTGGCTACGCAGCATGTACGCTGCCCTTGTCTACCACGGCGACTGCTAAGCCGTTTTGAAGCTGCATCCGTTTTCAGTGGCTGATGTTTTCAGCAGCAGATCCCCAGGTGTTCGCGCGAACTCGAAGCTCCAGCGGAATAAAGCCAGGGACCCCGCCGCAGCCACGGCCAGTCCCTTCTCCCTCGCCTCTGCCAGCAAGTCCTTTCAGCTAGCCTGGCCTGGGGCCCGGGGCCCCGGGGCCCGGCCGGGGAGGGGTGGCTGCCCCTTCCAGTTGCTCTCTGTAGGTCAGTCCTTGTGTTCTGGGACTCTGGGTTTTTGGGCTACCTGGCTCGGGGAAGATCCTGCTGCCCTTGCGCCCCTCTTGGCCACCTGGGGGCGTCCCCAGACTCACGCTTCCGCCCGGTCCACCATGCTTTTGATGAGATCCCGCAGGTGGGCAGAGAGGGCTGAGCAGGTCTGCCGCATCCACAGCCGGAGGTCAGTGACCACCTGTGGGTAGGCGGCGGGCGGAGGGGCGGCTCTCAGGGAAGAGCCCAGCTTGGGGGGCGCAGGGAGAGGGTAAGAGGGGTGTGGGGAGCTGTGGCACCTGGTCATTACGGCTTCGCCCAGTGTGCAGCTTCCCTGCCGTGTCTCCAATGAGCTCCTGGGGGCGGGGACACCAGCCGGTGTGAGGGGAGCTTCCTTCCCAGCCCCCCATCTTCCCTCCCTACCCCAGAGCACCCCATCCTTCCCAGTATCTCTGCAGAGGCCCCTCCTCACGTCCCTCCTGCACTTTCAGAACCCAGGGCAAGTGAGAAGTGAGGGAGGTCCCAGCCATGGAGGGCGGGGGGCATGAAGCATACCTTCAGCCGCCTCTCATTGGCTGTGTGGATGTCCTCATCATTGGGGTGTACTTTGAAGGTGCCCTGGGCCCACTCCTCAGCCACCTGTGGTGAGTAACAGCACTCCGGTCCCCAGGTAAGCCACCCTCTACCCTGTCCTACCTTCCACCTTTCCACCTTTCCCCTAGATCAGGGCTAGTTTCCATCCAGCAGTCCATGCCAGAGGGCCTCACAGCCCCATTCTAGAGGGACCTGGGCTGAGGGGGGGGAGCATAGTGCCATGGGGCCACTAAAGGGTGACAAGTGGCAGTTGCCAGGCACATAGTGAACCAGCAGGCATTTTACCCCACAGTGTTGGGCTGCTACCTGTGAGGTCAGCAGTTCGAACCCACCAGCTGCTCCTTGGGAGACAGATGAGGCTGTTCACGCCTATAAAGCTTCACAGCCTAGAAACCCCACAGAGGCCATCCTGTCCTATAGGGTCACTATGAGTCAGAGTCAACTAGGTGGCCGTGGGTTTGATGTCCCTGGGTTCATAATGACCACATGCTGGGTGCCGGGGCCTCAGGGGCAGGGCCTTGGGGGTCGGGAGGGGGGCTGGAGATGGACAGTACCTTGTCTAGGCCTTGCAGGATCTTCTCCATCTCGGCCTTGGTGAGCAGCCCCGCCTTCTGTAGGCCCCGGCTATAGGCCTTACTGCCCTGCACGTCCACTTCCCACAAGTTCCGGTCATAGGTGATGGACGCGTTGAACTTCTCCATGATGGGGTCCACAGAGCCCACAAACCGGCCACCCCATAGCTTCCCGCTCTGGCCAGGGGAAAAGGAAAGTCATGTGTCTGATGGCAGTGGGGGCCAGCAGGCAGGACTGTCCCCATTAGAGAGATGAAGAAACTGAGGCCCGGAGAGGGTGGGGAACTTGCCTCAAGCCACGGGGGAGGGAGGATAGGCACATGGCTACACCCTGTGGGTATAGCTTGTTCCTGTCACATGGCACCTCCCCTGGGAGGTGGCAGCAGGGTCCCAGAGCATCTAGAACTTTCTCAGGGTGGGAGGTTCCCCTGGGACCCTGAGTTGGAACCATGAAGTCTGGCACGTCCTGCCCTGTGAGGGTGTGCCAGGCATGGTGCTAGTCACTGGGCATGCTCTGACAGCCATGCTCTGAGGTGGGTGCCAGGACTACCCCATGATACTGAGGAGGGAACAGAGGCACAGCACTTATGTAGCTGGCTCTGGGGACTGGGGGAGGCCGGGACTGCGCCCAGCAGTCTGTGTCCATGTGCTAACCACATCCCACCACACCTCTCAGCTCAGCTGTCCTGGACTTTGGCTGCAGGGACAGGCCTGGGCTTCCAGTGGAAATGTGGAGACCCCTGAGGGCCCCACCAGGCCTGCTTCACTCTCCCTTCCCTACCAGCTGGGGGAAGGGCCCTGAGCCCAGGTCCCCATCCCCCACCCCCACCCTCCATATACACACACACTGCTCTGGCTCTGGACAGCATTCCTGACACACCCCTGACCACTTGCCTCCCAAGAGCTCACCCAGAGGCCAAGGGTACAGGAATGTGCCTAGGTTTTGAAAGAGGGCATAGGTCTGGGCACATGGTAGGTGCCAAAGCCAGACCAAGTGAGTTGCCAAGCGAGCTGGCTCCATCTCCTGATGGCCCCGTTCGAACCAAGCTGCCAGGCCTTTCTTCCGTAGAGCCTCAAGCTGGACTTGATCTGCCCACCTTTCGGCCAGTAGTCGAGCACTTCACCATGTGTGCTACCCAGAGATCCTGGGGCAGGAGAAGCACCTAGCAGATTGGGAAGAGATTACGGCAGGCAGGCGTGTTAACGTCCTGGCCTCTTGTCCCTGGGGTGGGAACATTCTGGCCCCTGGGGACAGGTGTCCTCCTCTGAGTCTCCTGCATTGCCCCTGGCCTCCGCAAGCCACTTGACACTGAGCATATTGTGTTGTCATTGTTGCCGGGCACCGCCCAATCGGTCCAGACTCATAGCAACTGCCATGCACAACCCTGCTGCGTCCTGCGTCATCCCCACAATCATTTTGCTAACGTGTAGGCCGAGGTGGCAGCACCTGTGACAATCCATCCACAATAACCTCCCTGTAAGAGGGGTGCGCAGATGAGGCCTATCTGATGTGTGGTGTGAGCATGTGATGAGATACTTGCAAAGTGCATGCGTCACACCAGTGAGCCTGGCCCTCAGCTGGAGATTACTAAGGGAGTGGGGAAGGCTGCAGGGTCTTAGCTACCCCCTGCTTTCTGTGTGCACCCACTGGGCGGGCCAAAGCCCTGCTCTGGTCTAGGTTTCCAGCTGCCCCTGGCTGCGGAGGACTCTGCCCTGCAGAAACTGCCTTCTTCTGCTTCCGCCCTGGAGCTGAATCCTCCCCTGGCCTGCTGCATCAGCTCTGGGTCTCAGGGCACCATGTGCTGCCATCCAGACCAGCCAGGTAAGATGGGAGTGGCCTGCCTCCCGCTGAGCCAGACAGCCAGGCCCCACCTTACCCACTAACCTCCTGCGCCTCCCCACCAGGATTATTAGTCATAACAACACCACTACTAACAAGCTGGCTGCTGCCAAAACAATTAGTGCCAACACACAGTGCACAGGGCTGCCTACAACCAGCATGGGTCTCCTGAAGGCAATTTACTAAACTCAGGTTAAGCCCCGCCCACTGTTGAAGCCCCACCCCTTGGGCTTCAAGGAGGCGGGGCTTCAACAGTGAGGAAGTGAGGTGGGGGCTGGTGGAGAGGTTTAAGTATGGTGGCCGAGGGCATTGCTCCAAGTCAGGGCACATCTGGGCTGGAAGGCTGCCTCCAGGACCAAGAGGCAGGCCACCATGTCGGGCTGGGATGACTGGCGACATGCCAGCAAATCTCAGTATTGCTAAGAACGCGTTGCCACGAAGTCGACTCTGGCTGATGATGACCCTGTGGGTGTCAGAGGGCTTTCAGTAGCTGAATTTTCCTACGCAGGTCACCAGGCTTATCTTCCCAGGTGCCTTTGGGTGGACTCGAACCTCCGATCTTTGGGTTAACCGACACCATCCGGGCTTATGCACGGCTTCTAAGCCTTACCCTGCTCGGTGAGGCGGACACTGGCGCCTCTGAGAGATAAAGACAGAGGCTCAAAGAGGTCTAGTGACACTGGTTCACAAACCAAATCTGTTTGGTTTCAAAGTCCAGGCCCGGCCCCGGCCCCCCTCCCCACCCCCTCCCAGACCATCACCTATAGCCTAACAGGGCAGTCTTTCTTATCCCTTTTACACTGACACATGCAGGCCCAGCGAGATGAAGTGGCTGCAACCCTGACTTGGTGCTTCCCTGGGCCAAGACCCCCCCTCCACCTGCATCAAGCAAACGTCCCGTTTTCGTCCCAGCCGCCCAAAGCAGTGAGCCTTCAGCCCCTTACAGAGGCAGCCTGCAATCCACAGCCCCATTTGTCAGATGGAACAACTGAGGCCCAAGATGAGCTGGAGGCTGTGCAGCTGGGAACCAGGCAGTGCCTGGCGGAGGGCAGCAGCCCTGAGGCAGAAAGTGACCTGGCTCTGGGGGAAATTATGACTCCTCTCCACAGGCAAGAGCAGCTTCAGGGTCACCGTGCGGGCCAGACAGGAAGGGGTGTGAAGAAAAAGAATGAAGGCGGGGTAGGGGGGGTCTGGTGGCTGGGGCCAGTCCAGGCAGCGATAAATAACAGGTGGAGGCTTGGAGGGTGTCACCTGGGGGTGTCACCTTTCCTTAGTAGCGTGAGTGGTGGGCACGCTGGGGTGAGGGACACATGAGGACCCAGGTAAGTCTAGTTAAAGGTGGCCCGGGAGGCCCATGCACAAGTCAGACCTGGGCTGGTCCGGGGACACCCTCCCCAGGTCGGCAGCCCCACGCCGGGGTGTCTGGCCCCCGCTCACCTCCGATGCCATGTTGGGCGGGTCCTGGTCGCTGGAGCCTCGATCCTCTGGG